TGGAAAGTTGGATCTACCAGGGTGTCAAGATAGGGTAAAAGATGGGGTTCTAGAACTTCGTGGATATAACGCTGCGCGTTCATGTTACCTCTGATGAAGATCAAAGGTGACCTGGAACCATAAGCTATAGCACCCCAAACCATAACTCCAACAGTGTGATGAACATGTCTTTCAACAAAAAACTGTGGATTCCTCCTTTCACCACGTCGCCTTCTAACCCTGGCACGACCATCATGCATGCCTAAACAAAATCGAGACTCGTCACTAAAGACAATACTGTTCCATTCCTGGTCCCAGAGTGACCGTTGTCTGCACCACTCAAGGCGATTACGTCGGTGTTCTCGAGTTAAAGGGAGGACCCAGTGTGGCCGGTATGAGAACAAGCCAAAACTTCTCATTCGTCGGTAAACACTTCGCATGCCAATAGGTCTTCCGTGTTCTGCAAACCATTCATTTGCAATGGACCTGGTAGTGGAGAAACGGTCCCTTAAGGCTAATAATCTTAGGGGGCGATCTTCACGGTCTGTTGTTCTACGGCGGCGTCCAGTGCCCCTTGCTCTTTGCGTACGGCCTTCTCGAAGCCATGCCTGACAACACCTAACCACAGTGTCTACACTTCTTTGCACTCTAACTGCAATTGCCCGAAAAGAAAGTCCAGGTTCCCGAAGTCCCACTATACGGCCCCTATCAAACTCGCTAAGTTGACGAAATCGTACAGGTCTCCGTACTCTAGGCATCGTAACCGATCGTAAAGGATGTCAAGAACCAAAATCCGCCAACGTTGATTCTTTACTGCGGCTGAAATATTCATTTTTTAGAGCGTTAATGAATTAAAAAAAAGCAGTATAAAAACCGGAATGTCCAACTGATAAAGCTGAAAATTTTTTCACTTGTTATTTACAGTAAGATAAATACATTCACCAACTTTTATTAAAATAAAACCATTTAAACTGGGTGTTCGGATTTATATGTCACTTAGTATATAATCATGTTTGCAGATGATACCGCTATAACCATAACTGCAAAAATGATAATCACTTTAACTCCAAAATTCAAAGTGTTTCGATGGATCTTCTGCTTTGTATCAAAGAAATCGGTTAACTTTAAATTGTAGTAAAACTGTTATCAATCTTAAAGCTTTTACATTACAATTATTAACGCCATAAAAACAATACACTCCGTAATTATAAGAAAATAGTACAATATTAATATTAAATGAACTGAAGATATATGGGTGGTCCATCCATGTGTGGACGGAATATTGCTCATAAACAAATACATTATTTGTACAGTTTTTACTATATTCCACTGCTCCACTTGATTCAAAACGTTCTCGTAGTGTGGAAAATGTTTCCGGCCTTGGATGTCGCATATTAGGGTAACGTTGCTTATAAATGCGAGATGCTACGACACTATTTCTCTGGGCTCCGTCCAAAACGAACACCATATTCACCATTTCTTCTTTAGAAAAAATCATGTTCAAACACGTTTTTATTATAATGCTCACAAAGCTAATTTAGACAGTTTGTAACTAATCAACAATTTATTTGTTTCCAAGGATTGTGCGATCTTATAGGGAATTAAGCCGTTGCATGAAAGACGTGCTATTAACCGAAAAAATAGCCGTAAAAACCCTTATATGTCTAGTATAAAAAGAAGCTTATAAAAAATTGAATCCAGACTTGTACAAATATACAGGGTGATTCATTTGAAATTTTTGGGAAAAAGTACAATTCGCGTTTTTGACCACCCTGTATGAGCAAAAATTAAAATTCGAAAAGGTAACCAATAAAATAAAAGACGAGGTATATAAGTTTTTTTTGATGCAAAATTCAGCATCTCAAATTTCAAAATGGCGGACTGACGGGTTGTTGAACTTCGAGGATTTTCTAGACAAAACACCTTATATTTCAGTAGCTAATTACCAAAACTCCATAGTACGTTTTATCAATTTTCTTCTTTTGAATTGGTATATCCAAATATCCAATAAAATTTGAGTCATTCCATTTGAAAAATCACAGCTTTGATATGTAGGTCGAAATTGGGACACCAATATTTTAGAAATTCGACCTCAAATGCCATGTATAACATCCCATAAATAGATTTTCTCAAAATGTATTTGTTTATGAGTAATATTTTGTCCACGCATGGATGGGCCACCCTGTATAGTTCTATGATACTATGAGGTGTAAATAATTCGTACAAAATATGAAAATCCATGTTGGAATAATGTTGTAGTATGCTGCGGTAATACAGTAACATTTTTTCTAAAGGTATTGTTATCAGTTTCCTTATTAAAAACAGTCTATTTTCTTAGATCTGTTATTTTGACGTTAAAAGTAATTTGCATAAAAAGCAAATCTTCTACACAAATTATTTCTAATTGTTGGTGTTGAAGTGCTTCATAAGCTATTCAAGCATGTGAAAATGAATTGTTATTGTACATTAGAAAGTATCACCCTGCACAAGACGAGATATAATTCAGCGATATGTAAATTTGTTAGTCTCCAGCTGGTATGCCGAATATATTATGGTAATTTTGAGCAAGATGTGGTTAAATTGTTTTATATCCAAGTAATTTTCATCCTCCGGTAATCTTGTATTTACGACGTGTCTAGCTAGTACCCTACGGACTTTCTTACACGTCGGTTTTTTCTTCTAAACACTCGGTAATTGGATGAAGTGCTATTAGCGACAATTTCGCTGCTCATACGTTCATTTGCGGCTTTTTGTAGGCGATAGGTGTAACTTGTGATACTTAAGGTACGTTTAGACACATTTTTGGTCGAGATGTATGAGGAAATTGATAGCTCATATCATGGTGATAGAAAGTGCTCATGGGTATTGGGTCTAGAAACTTAATGTGTGGTCAAAAATGGAAATTATCAATCAATCAATCAAAGTTTATTCAAATTCAAAAGCCAATATAACTTACAAATTAAAAACAGCCTTCAGTACAATTTAAATAAGAAACAGTTTAAAAAATGCATGAGCTTGTATGCTCTTGCTATACTGAATAACCAAGATTGCAACAGAAATCTAAGCAAAGATCTAGAACAAGCAAGTAACGGTATATGATAAAATCGTGAAAATTCTGTATACTTTCGTACAGGGTAAATGTCTGAACCTTGTCGTCACATATCCTAAATTACGTGTCTGAATAAACAAATCTGAAATTCATAACAATAGTACAGAAGCACACTAAAAACACTCAGAAGTATAAATGTAGAGTACACAAAATATGAATATCTGAAATATGATAATATAGGGATATTTCGAGTAAGGTCAAACTATGTTCTTTAAACAATAAGAATTTTGCGTAAAGGTTAAGCAGAGAAACAAGAGTACTACAATTTACTACAAAAGAATTTACTACAAAAGTATAGACACCTAAGCTATAAGCTTGTGTGTGTCATACAATATACAAATTCAATGCATGGCTAATGGTCATAAAGTATATTATGAGCAAATGTATATAAAAAAAGATATAAAAAACATTAGATAGAAACGAAATGAGTCAAGCTACAGTCGATGCAAGCATGTCAAAGTTATTTAAGATTAACTTCTGAATTCTTTTTTTGAAAGTATGCTTCGAGAGAATTTTATATTCTAGGGGTAATTTATTATACAACCTAATACCATCACACTTTATGCATTTTTGGCAAACAGATTTATTCACCCTGGTATAAGTGTAACTTATATTTATTTTAGTTCTTGCTTCGTAAGCGTGGCTGGTTGGAACATTGTTTCCGGAGTGAACAAATTTCAGAGCAGCAAAAATATATAAACCTCTAACATTCAAAAGATCATTTTCAATGTAAACGAATCTGCAACTTGACCTACATGGGATAAGAAAAATAGTTCTGACAATATAATTTTGCGTGGTTTGTAGTATTTTTAAAGCACTAGTGTATGCGGCTACTTATGTAAGTTAGTAGAGACCCCACATACGAGTTATATATTAAGAGAAGACTCCTTCTGCTTAAAATATTCTTAAGAATGAAAAACTGATGAATAATTCTCCTCAGTTTCGATGCCAAAAGCTCGGCATGACTCTGCCATTTTAAATTACTGTCAGCAGTGATTCCTGAGTATCTAATAACTTCAACTCTTTCGACAATGTCAGCACTATCATTTATAATTAATGTTCGGTGGTGTAATGGCATGCCTGCTTTGGTTTGACTTCATTTAATGAAGCATTCCGTATTGCGTCATCCCATGAATGACCAGTGCAAACTAAAACAGTATCGTCTGCATATGATATCATTTTACAGTTGAAATTGCATCGAAGTAGTTCATTTATGTATATGAGGAACAGTGTTGGTCCCAAAAACGTCCCCTGAGGCACACCTATTTTGTTCTTTTGAATGCTGCTAATTCCAAGGTTAAAATGTACAGCTCTCGTTTCTGAATTAGTTGCGGTTTTTTGGAGCGTATTTATATGCCATTGAGAAATTTTACGCTGACTGAGATATTTCGGAAAAAAGATAAGATTTGGCCAAATCATTTCTCTGCCTTTTCTTACTTTATTTTATGAAATATCAAGAAATTAATGAAACATTTCCAATAGCACTTTTTGGGCAATACGTGATGGTGTTTTTGAATTCTGTGCCTTTGAGGAAAAGTGCCAAAGAAGAAGTTTGATCAGTTTTTCGATATTTCTTATAGGGTAAACATACCAGTTATTGGACAGTTAAGCTTTTTTTGAATTTCAAGTCGCTGCCACTGGAGTATTTTTTAACGGATATCATTCTGCCTATGCCAGGTTTTCATACATGCATCCTATTTTAAGCTGACGGATTTCAAATATTCCTAATATTACAGCTCTTTAATAAAAATTGAAAAAACCCGAAGAGGTTCCGAAAAGTTAGTTATTGGACAAAAAATTCAATTAATGGACACAAAACTTCCAGTTATTGAACACTGGCAAGGTGATGATTAAAAGCAAATAAAAAGTTGAAATCAGTGTTAAAAAGCTTTTATTGAACCTCAACTATGAATTATTTAAATTTTTTCATTTCAGATTGGTACATATGAAATAATTCTTCGACGTCCATGTAGCCACAATCTTCAAGATCTTCTTCACTTCCCATTTTAGGTTCCTTGCACATTTTGCTGTCAGTTTTTATTTGATCGTCTGTTTCAATTACTTCTTCACTTTCTATTTCTCCCGGGTTTCCATAAACTTTGCTGTTAGTTTCATCTTGCTCATCCACTTTATTACCTTCCCTACTTTCTACTTGTTTTGATTCGACGGGCAAATTGTAATTTTGTTCCTGTGCATTTATTTCGTTAATCTTCTTATTGCCAATTTCTTTTGGTTCTTGATCTTTATTGCTTTCTATTTTTTCACGCTCCTCATAGATTTCGACGTTGGATTCTTTTTGATGATCTGCTTCGATATCCTCTTCGCTTTCATTTTGTTTAAATTTTTTACTCATTCTGCAGTCGATTTCTTTTTCGTTATACGCTTCGCCGTCTTCTTCAACTTCTATTTCTGAAATAACATCATCATCGCTTTCCTCAGTATAACACATATGACACATGAATAGATCCTCATCACCTTCTTCAGGAATATGTTCGTTATGTTTTTTCGGAATACATCGTTGGTGAATTCTTTTCTTGCAGCTGTTACATGTTAAGTAATGCTTCTTTATTGTACGAACTTTGCATACAAAACATGAATTATTATCTTTGTCATTACCTTGCGCACTCTTTTTTAAAGCTTTTGCTGCGACACTCTCTTCTCTTTTCCGTTTTCTCTCCAATTTTTTATTTTCTAATTCTAACTTTAAGGCACGTTTTTTTTCAAAACTCTCTTGATACTCTTTTGATGTTATAGCAAAGGAAACTCTTTCGATATTACGTTTATTCTTTCTTGTTGGTTTTTCTGGAACTACTAAGTAGTCACCTATATTTTTACTAGTAGATGGCAAACTATAGATAGTGTCTTTGCCAGGTTTTGTGACTATATTTTGTGTTATATTAATTTGTGGTTCTTTTGAAAGTTGATTCTCAGATGGATTCAATTCAGCATCCAAATTTATTTTATTTTTTGGCGCAGTTGATGGTTGGCTCTCAGATGGATCTAACTCAGGTTCAGCCTCAGACGAGTTCAATACCTGATTATCAAATCTTGGCACGTCTCTCATTTCTGGCAAGCAATCTGGCTTTTCAAAATAACTCCATATTTGGTACAAACTCAAAAACTCTTCGGTAATACCTTCTTCAATCAAAAGATTATCGAAAGATTTTAATCTCTTGATTAAATTTTCTCCAGTCAAACTGACAAATGTTCTATGATCCATGCGCGGGGGTATCCTTTTTACCTAAAAATGTGATAAGGGGCAATTAACTTATAGGTAAATAAGAACGGTTGTATAATTACTTCAGGATGCTCTTTTTTGTTTCCCAAGCACTTCGTGTAATCAACAGCATCTGGGTTAAAAGGGAATAAACCACAAGCACGAAATCCATTAATTAAAGTTTCCTTTTTGATATGTTTTGCCACTACTTTTTCCAATAGAGGAGCAAATGTTATTTTATTTAGAACTTCTCCAGGATTTTGTTCGTAAAACTCTCGTACGGCCTTTTTCCATCCCATTTTTATGGGCCTGAATACTGCAACATCACATGGTTGAAGAATTCTCGTTGCATTCGGATATAAGGCTATAACTTCAATGTTTAGTTCATTGCAAAGTATACTTAACTCATAAGTTAAATGAGACTTGTGATCATCTAAAAATAATAATACAGGGAAGTGTATATTATTTTTCACAAAGAATGGATAAAATACGTTTTTCACATAATCATAGAACGTTTCCGCCGTCATCCAGCCATTATCCGATCTTCCAATGCCCCAATCAGGGTCTTTGACGGTCTGGCTTATTTTTTCTCGAATTCGCTTGTAACCATAAATTATCATAGGTGGACAAGTTAACCCCGAAGCAGAAAATGAAAACATGACAGTGATGCTTTCCTTAGATGATCCCTTTTCCACAGAATAAACATTCTTCGCGCCTTTCCTAGCAAAAACTTTGCCAGTTTTTGGGCAAATCTGAAATCCGGATTCGTCGCCATTGTAAATTCTTGAAGGGTCATCAATCACAATATTTTTCGAGATAAGATAACTATTTATATCTTTGAACCATTTCCGAATGTCTGCTTCCGAAACACAAGCGCTGGCGTCACTTACTGGTTCACTTGTTCGCTGCACAAGGGCTGGATGTCTTTTTAGGAAAACCTAGAACATAAAGTGCTATTTTAGTCACCTCTATTTTCCAAATGCACTTTGATGCCTCATTACCTTGAACCAACTCTCACCGGGTCTGTTGTTTTTAAAGGGATTAGGCCGTGGATTTTCAGTCAAAAATTTGTGAACGCTATTTAAAATGTCGTCTCGTTTCCTAGGGAATCCTTTTGTTGCCAGCCCTTCTATCCACCTGCAAAAATAAAAACAGTTATCAAACAGTTCAATATCTCACCTAACAAAATTAACTTTACCTCACAAGATCGGACTCTTATCTTGCTGGCAGGATTGGATTTGGACCGCATGTATCTTTATGACCAGGATTTTTTATTTTAAATTCGAGCGTTGATTTAGGTACACCGTATTTGTTTGCCGCATTTCTATATGACATGTTGTTATTCTTGATGTCATTTATCGCGGCTTCCATCGATTCCGCATCATATTCATTTTTCTTGGGCATTGTTTTAGGCACATAAAAAACTGTAAATAAACGTTTCAGTTATAAGACAGATTGTAAACCAGTTATTGGACAGGCGTCCAATAACTGGCTACACTGTAAATATTGACACCAAACTCAAAGTGCCGGAAACAGAGAAGCCGCACAAATGTTTCTCACAAAAACTGTATACACCTCGGTATACACATTCCAAAATGCAGTTATTGGACGGGTGTCCAACAACTGAAAGTAATCATATTTTACGTCAGTTATTGGACACCACTATAAAACATAACCTAGACTTAAATATATTGATTTAAACCTTAAAAATGTTTACTTACACTGGACCGCTACCTTGTATATTTACTCTGAGCACTACGGTAAAATTTCACCACCAATTATAGTACTCGAATTCACCTAAATTTTCTTATGATAGGCTTAAGAAAACCGTCTGTTTGGTGCATAACAAAAGAATCTCACCTTTGGCGCCAAAACAGAAACGTCAATCAAATGTCATTTATGTCAATATTGATACTAATAGTACAATGGTGACATCTCAACAAAACTTGGCTCACTGATGAATACAGAATTCTTGTTTTCGCTTGAAATAATTGGGATGTCCAATAGCTCCCAGTGTCCAATAATTGGTATGTTTACCCTAATAAAGTCAGAAACTAATAAAAATTATTTGGTCAAACTTTAGTTTTTCCCAGATATCTCAGTATGTCATGAAATTCTTTCTCAAGGACATGTGAATACGCCACTTTTTCCTAATCTACGAGGGATGTCTTTTAAGTTTTGCATCTAGAAACACAGTAGGCCGCGCGGATCGAACGTCAGTACTGAATCTTAACCTTACCCTTTAGTAAACTTAGATTCAAAATTTCACAACAATACGTGCAGCGTTCTCACTGCAGTGAATTTTTGTCGTCAAGTCATTAGAAAAATGGAACTCAACCGAGAACATTTTCGCGCCATAATTTATGTTGTTTTATTTCCATTTGCAAAACTTAAAAGACATCCCTCGTATTCTAAGCCGGTTTGAGATCCCCAAGCATGGGATCTTGGACGAAAGTATCGAATCTCGGTTCATCGTTCATCTCTACACCGCGACACGCGGATGATATGATATATAAATTCTCGTTATCGGGAACACGCAACGATTCGGATAATCAGGCAGCTGCCGTTACAATCACAAATTGCTGACGGCAAGGCCTCTCTCTTCTCGTATTGCCGGAGGCGAAATAATACACAAGGTTGCGCCGTGTGACGCTTCAGCGAGATATTCTGCGGTTTTCTTGAGTCAACACCGTCCTTCTTCAGTCAGCCGTTCAGGGCATTTTCTATAAAGAAATGCAAGTAGCATTGCGAAAACAGTTGAACAACAAAGACTTTTTTGGGGTGTCTCTTCAGAATGGGGATTTTTTCTCATACTATTGCATGAAGAACGCAATTACCTCCAGTGGCGTGCAGTACAAATATGATACTTTGACATTTTGACATTATGCAATTTAAACCGAATTTATAAATTTTGTTGTGCAATTAAAGAGATCAATGAACAAATCTAAGTTACTACTATAAATATGGGGGTGTATTCCAGTGGCGTTACACTTTTTTGGTTTGGTAAGAAGTTCTAATAACTGAAGAAAATGTATTTTTCAAATGCTATGATGCTGGCCAACACTGATGTTCATCTTTGATCTGGAAACGTTTGTCTTTCTCATTCAGCGTTGGCGTACGCATCTCCATTTGGAGATTTTTTCCAATAGATAATAGACTCTATCAAATTTTTAAACAACATCAAAGGATTTATTGTATAACCCTAACAATATGTGTAGGATACGACAGAGATAATATGATAATAGCAATATAACGATAAACGTGAAAACATCTCATCTTAGAAGATTCCGAAGTACCGCCCCGTACCATTTCATTTTTACTACGTAAACAGTACGTAAACGTCAATTCGGTATTTATTTATTTATTTATTTATTTCCAACAGGTGAAACCCAATTACAGGAAACGCTGAAAAACAGAAACAATTAAAGATATAACTTTATCTGAAGTCACTTGAAATAGCATAAAAACCTTTGGTCGGCGCGTCCTTTGCAATTTCATGACGTATCATAGGCGTGCGGTCATTTATTTAGAACGATAATAATAATGTTTTTATATCACAATAAATGGATTTTACTATCTTCTTATTTTTTTGATTTGGTATAAAAAATACTTATATTGGGAGTTTAATTTATGTTGACTGAAAGTTAAGAAATGGAAAAATTACAGAATTCCAACGTTTGACATAGGCAAATATTTACATAGCAGGTAGGTATATAAAAAGGTATATAAAGACTTACATTATAGGTATTTATATATCATCCTCGCCTTCGGAGCTGTCGCTAGAGTCATCTTGTAGAGGAATTACAACGGGATTTACAGGAGGCAAAACACAATATTCATTTTCTTTTTCAATAATATGCCTGAGACACTGCTTCCATAGGTCTGTGGCAGCAATATGAGATACTGCATTTCTTATTGTGGCCAATAGCGATTCACTTAATTGAAGGGTCTGATTATATTTTCTTACTTTTTTTTAAAGCAGCCCAGACCAACTTAATCGGGTTAAAAATGCAGTAATAGGGAGGTAGACGTAATACTTCATGGCCATTTTGCTGAAGCAGATTGTCAACAATATACTCTTTTTCAAATTTTTGTCTTTTAATAAGATCCAATAATATGGCTTTGGTTGATTTTTGTGGTATTTCCATTCCCTTATCCTTCATAAAATCAATAATGTCTTGTTTTTTTGTGCCTGTATTCGGAATTTTGTTTTTCTGTCGGGAATGGTATGGCGCATTGTCCATAATAATCACTGAATTTGGGGAAATGTTTGGTATTAACTGCTGCTCTATCCACTTTTCAAATAAGTCGGAGGTCATGTCCTCATGATAGTCGGCACATGATTCTTTGATATTTTTGGCAGATAACAGCAAGGCATTAGGTATAATTCCATTTTCACTGCCAGCATGGAGAATAATGATTCGTTTTCCACGGTTGCATGGTGCATTTAAAATGCACTTGTTGCTGTCGTCAACCCAGCCGTACTGCACAACATCATGGGTATCATACCACGTTTCATCCAGGTAAATCAGATTTCTTTTCTGCTCTCTATAGATTTTAACTGTGCAAAAATTCTTGGCGCATTTCAACGATTCGAGACGACTCCATAATCACCATTCTTTTATCTAATTTTTTGTATTGAAAACCACACAGTTTTACAATACAGTGCAGTGAGTCTAAGCATTTGTAATTATAAAAATCTTCAGGATAATCTTTTAATTTATCCCGTATCATTTTCAACGTGGGCACCAAATTTTCTTTATAAAATCTGTATATTATACGACGAATATCTTCCTGAAACCCACGTCTATTCTTTTTAATTTTTGCCCTATGCGCTTTCTGTGGAAGGAATGGTTGACTACATCTCCCCATTTTATAACCCGATAAATGGTAGACCGACTGATTTTTGTCAGGATACAAATTCTGTTTAAAATTTGATTGTGCGAGGAATCTGGATTTTCGTTTTTCAGACAATCATACATATTTAGGATTACTCTTTGGGTCTGTTCCTCTAAATCTTTATGAAAGAATTCTGCCTGCACAGGTTCATCAACCATCTCCTCGTGGCTTGGAGCTTTTTCCCAAGATCTCCAAAGAGCCATATTTAGGACACACAAAAACAATCAACACAACAATTAAATCAACAAGTAAACTGAGTATTCAAAAGTCAAAAACACACAAACTAATAAAATCTATGAAAAAACACGGACAGACTAAAGAAAACAGGTTTATTCACCGCTACACGGCACTGGCTAAACTGTTTCAATTTTCAGTAGCCACCTGCATTTGTTCCGAACTCTGAAATACACGCTTTCTCATTGGCTATGTCCACGCATAGGCGTGCTTTACTCCACGTGGACCGGTGAAACTGCCTTTGATCTTATACGGGGGATATTTGCTGCGAAATTTGGCGATTTTTGCAGCAACAGAGCGTGTTAAATATAGATATATAAAACGCACCCGATATTTCGCAGTGTTTCAAGTGACTTCAGATAAAGTATACATGGTTCTTGGACTTAAATTTATAGTATCACACATTCTAAATAGGATTGGATGATCTATAGTAGTTAATAATCGATGCACAACTGTCACTGTAAATATCACAAGATTCAGTAACACTGTTCATGACGCAGCACATGAGATTAATTGACGATTTTGTCATAACATTTGTACGGTCAGCTTGACAATAGAATGCCGTTTGTTGTCGACTCGCTAGCCTTGGAACGCGGATACATATTTTTTCAAGTAAATTTTGGCAGTCAATTTTGTTGTGAATTAGCCCATACAAAAACGACAAAGCAAATATGTTTCGTCTTGTTGACAGTGAATCCAAATTGAAAAACTCTAATAGGGCACTATGGTCACAACCTCTTTCTGGATAAAAACCTGTGCATTTAAGGTGAAAATACTTTAAAGCTTTACGTTGAATGGCCTCAAGGATCACGACAGAATTTTGGTATATAGGAGACCAGATCAGAGTCGCATACTTCAACTTGTTCCTGACAAAAGTAAAAAATAAAGTCATTAATGCATCAACATTGGAGAAACCCTTCCAGTTTCTGATACAGAAACCAAGTAGTCGAGTGGCAGCCGACGAGATATTGAGTATATGCTCAGTAAACGTTAGCTTGGTATCAAAAATGACTCCAAGGTCTCTATCTGTCTATAACCTGACCATTGATGTTATAATTATCATAAATTAAATAGTTAACTTTTCTTGTATAAGTCATAACTTTACATTTCGAAACATTCAGACTGAGACAGTTTCGTGAACACCATGACGAAATTAGAGCTAAGTCATCTTGCAACATGACGCAATCCTCGACTGTCTTGACTGACGTGCAGATTTTAAGGT